CCCCGGCGACGTGCCTCCGCGCGCATGCTGTACACGCGCGCGAGCACCTTCGCCTCCAGATCCCACGGCGGTAATCCGGCAAGGAGGTTCGCCGACTCCCCAGAGATCGTGCGGTATCCGCGGATCATTCGGATCGCCATGACCCTCTGTGCCATGAGCAGCGTCCGAGCGGGACGCCGCAACAGGTTAGGCGCCCAAACAGGGGCGCCGTAGAGGGCCATGGACCGCACGAAAAACTGCCTGCTTAACTCGTCGAGTACCGTCATTATAGACACAATTATAGAACAATAGGTAAACTGTCAAACACCAAGCGGTCACCGGTGACCGCAACCTATTGTTCTATAGAGGTAATTGTGTCTATAATGGCGGTACTCGACAAGGATTAATAACTTAAATAATCCATACTATATATCCATAATATTATAAATGCGAAAGTAATTCTGTCCATCTGTTACGCTTTCCCGCTTAAACATCTTAAACGATTTTGATGAAATTTGGCACAGGCAAACTTTAGACCCTGAGAAAGGACAAAGGCTACCTTTTATAGCGAATTTTTTTATCCTTAACACGTTAAACGCCATGGCAGTCACTGGTGACCGACATTAGCGGAGGATTTGCCTTCAATAGTTTTTTATTGGCAGCCAATGCCTTAACTCGTCGAGTACCGGTTTTGTAGACACAATTGTAGAACAATAGGTTGCGGTCACCGGTGACCGCTTGGTATTTGACAGTTTAATATTCAAATTAAAAGGACGCAAACGAAGTCGCGGGTACCAGCTAGTTCTTTCATTAACTACGTTTGAAAATAACCAACGTCAACCTCCTCTTTTTTGAAGTCGGTTAATTAATGTACTAATTAAAACCAACTCTTAAGTTAGAACAAACATTTTTCTGAGAACCGCATCAAAATCGGTTCCGCCAATCGCGAGATAATCTTACATAAACACACATACATACAGATCAAACTACGAACCTCCTTTTTTATATTTTAAGTCAGTTAACAAAGGAGTTTGACTTTATCGTAAGAACCGACTAAGGGACAGTATATTCTACAGAAACCAGGCAGCAACGCTCTCTGATAAACTTGTTCCTTTTAAACTAGGTATCATCTCCTCAAAACTGGAGATTATGATGGCCAACGCCTCTTTGGTGGTGGGGAAAATCATCGAATGACTGCTCCCGCCTAGGTGAGGCGGGAGGGAGTGTCAGACTCTTACTGACTAAAAACCACCCCGTTCCTTCTCCTGCACGTCGAGCCGGAGCCCCGGTTACCCGTTAGATTCTCCGCGACGCGTCTTTGGTGTAGGAGACCTCTTTGGTCCAAAAGTGAAGTCTCATGGTTGTTGACGTCATTGATTGTCTCTGTAATATCATATTGTGTGGGGCTATCAGTGTTCATACTTTGTTTATAAGTTAGAGGTCAAGAAAACACAGAGATAAGGGGGTTAAGTAACCAAGACGTGTCTCAAAGGTAATTATCATTAAGTTCGTATTTACGGAACTGATTGTAATGTCTCGATTTGTGAGAAATTCTTAAGAAATATTTATGTTGGCAACTTTTTAAGTTCGATTCCCTTTTCAAGCTAAGGCATTTAATTTTATTTTATACTACCTTCTGCCCGCGACTCCGTTCGCGCAACCCCGTTTTTTTCTATTCCCGTAGGATTTTCAGGATTTTATATAGATAAAATCCTGATCCTGATTAAGATAGCTTAAGAACCTTTTCCTAATAATAAGTAATACATCAAAAAAATTATTAGTAAAATCGGTCCAGCCATTTCTAAGATTATTTTATACACCATTGACAAACGGTGAAGGAAAACATCGTAAGGAAACCTGGACTTAGAATTTCTAATTTTTGAAATCGCCAACCCGCATTGAGCAAACGTAGTGATAAATGCTCTAACCATATCCGTGTGAGAAGAGGCTTTGCTCAGCAGTGGGCATTTATAAGCTGTTGATGATAATGACGATGTTATGACGTAATTAATCTTTTTGATGAAACAAACTACAGAACCTCTACCTACTCTTTCTATGTCAAATTGGCGTAAAATGGTGAGTACCATAAATAATCTTAAATAACATACTTCTGCAGTGATACAGCTACCTACTCATCTACTTAAAACACTGGTATATTTGAAGAGATCATGAGACGAGTGACTAAATGAGGCTGGTTATCATAATCTTCACAAAAATGCTAGTCTCCTAATGGCTTAAGTATCCTTTGTGTTCAAGGTGAACTATAAATCTAGATTTCACGAGAAGAATCACAGGTGAATGTTTTTGGTAACCTTTAAAGACTTGTGAAAAACTTCATTATAGTAAACGTACTTTAATGTGACATTAATATGCATTTACTGTTATTAGGTCCTTCCGATACTTGTATTCAGTTAAATCAGTGCATTTATCCGTAACAACGACGTACATTCGTATTTTTCGAAGATTATATTAATTAATTTTTAATTTGCCTATACAAAGTCAAAATAATTTATTTCAATTAGACCAGAAAGTAACTTTTAAACGTCAACAAAAAAAGTGAAGCTATTTGCTCATTCCAAAGTGTAGATTCCTATGGAGAAGAACGAGCAAAAAACTCCATAGGTTACTCTTTGATGTGGTATTGACTTTGATGTGGACGAATTTTTTGATGCTCTTTGTAAAGTAGTTCTTTTAGTTTTCTTTTGTTCTCTTTGTTTTTAAGTTTTATTTATAGCTTTTAACTCGTCGAGTACCGGTTTTGTAGACACAATTATAGAACAATAGGTTGCGGTCACCGGTGACCGCTTGGTGTTTGACAGTTTAATGTAGGTATATATGTATTTTAATGTCATCATCCCCACAAT